CTCAGTCTCTGCTTCTGAGAAGCTCTACCAAGGAATGACTTCTTCCTATCTGTGGAACACTTTATATCTCTTCCTTTTAGGTTCCGGAGCATTTATGGTAATTGTTTCTCTGAGAAAATGCTTCTCTGTAAGAACTAGGTTATGCATTCATCCTGCCTTCCTATCTACTTAGTCCTGATCTCTTTCAGTCACTGAGCGTATTACTTCTTAGCAATCTGAGTATTTGAACAGTATGAGCAATAATAAGCATAGTTCTCTAAATGTCTACTTTGGGTTAGAAAATACATTCCTTGAAAGCAAGAGTCAAGTCCTTATTTCCAAACACTGGATACCAGTATCTATCCAAACATATATTACATGATATATGATCAGTTAATATGTGTCCATGGATGGCTGTGGTTTACAGACTTTGCTCTCTGATAATACATGTTTATAGAGATGGATCTTAGAGATAATTAATATGCACCCAAATGCTGTCTTTCTAAAATGTCAGCTGTATTCAGCTAGAACAGGATTATAGCCAATGATTGAGTTTTTTCCAGCATACAGCAATAGAACAAACATTTTTCATGTTTGGATATATTAAGGGCCGTGTTTTCCAGGTGTGAGCCACCTTTCACTCCACTGTAGGCTTTCAAATATTTGATTTGTATCTCCAACCAGATATGTAGGAGTTAGTCCACTTTAGCCTAGCTGGGGGCTTCAGAATTGTCTACATCTAGATCATTTCAAATATTCACACATATATTGAAAGGCAAAAGGTGAAATGTCATTTTAATTTGTATGGTTGGACTTATGTATTAATATTTATTTAATTCAAGATTGCTTTTGCATCTAAATATTTTATGAAACATTTTTTTCACAATGTGTAAATTGATACTTGAGTTGTGTAGTCTACAATAGGTACCTGCACATATAACTCTAGTTACCATGTGCATCAAAATGTTTTCTTAGGAATCTTCCTTAGTTGATGGGATATTATTTCATTATACAAAAAAAAATAGAGTTTTATGATGATTTCAGTTAAGGGAGTAACTTTTGTAATTTGAGAATGTTTAACACTAGATGGCAGGATGAGACCATAGCTGCCCAACTCCTCAGAGCTACATAGAAAAAGGACTTGATGCTTTCCCGAAGGGGTTAAGAAATTTTAGGCAAATACATCATATTATGCTTTAATATATGCACTATATACAGTTCCACACTCCTTTTTATTTAAAAACATTCACTGTATATAATAGATTGAGGTTAAACATGAATGAATTATTGAAGAGAAAAATCACAATTGCAAATAATTTTAAAAGTTATGTAACTATGACAATAGCTGAATCAAATTGTACTGAGAAAACATTCATACTATTTGGCATCTTTATAATTTAAAAATTAAATTTTCAAGCAAAATATGAGACACAATCATTTAATCAAATGCTACTTAGGGTCAACATGCATACACACAAAGTTAAATAAATCGTTTAGGTCACAATTGAGATTGATATTCAGCAAATAAGAAGCATTTCAGAATCAATTCACAAACATACATATCAAGAGATGAGAGGGCAATCTTTATCAAGGCCAACTCAAACTAGGAAACTGGGAAGTTCTGTTTTCCTAGAACTGGGAAGAACTATTTTAAACTATTCTGGGAAAAGGGATTTAAGTTTCCCAAATGAATTACTCCTTCTCTGTAGTTACGTACTGCTCGGATAAGTATGGCCAGGGTGACCGTATGTAATTTTTTATCCAAACCAGCACAATTGTGAGCATGGAAATATGAACTGGGATGACCTTAGCACTCTGTAGCATATGATCGCCCTAATTATGAGTGCTTACCCTGAGGAAGTCCATTTTGTAGCCTCATTTAAATGAGCCTTTTTTAATTTAGTTGTACTCAAATATTCATCTTTAATTGGTCCATGACATATCTCATTTGCCAGTGCCAGCTCTTTAAATCCAGTAACACGTACTCCTTTTAGAGGAGTAGAGCTCATGATGATCTATGAGAAAATGGTGAGTTCCTTGGAAGAACCAAAGCCATCGGAACTTAAGAATCAATGAACAGAATAGGCAGATTTTTAGTCAATTGTTTTTGATATGTTGTATGATTCTTTTGGGGAAACACATTTTAAAATACTAGAAGACATTCTGTAATAGTAGTAAATAGACTTATCTATATATGTACTGATATAATGTTATCACTTCAAATTTAACATTTTCCACTCTTTTCCAATTCATATCCATAGTAAATATTTTAAAGCAGCATTATAATTTCCCTAAAGATGATGAATTATGTGCACAATTAGAGTGAAGAATCAATCCTTTGGTTTTAATAATAAAAAATAGCATGTTCATTCTCAACTAGATAGCAGGGCACACTGTACATTTCTTAAACTTCCACACAACTAATGTAATATCTGACTCAAAATACAGATTTGATCACTACTTAGTAAATGATTTCAAGTGTCTTCAATCTGTTCTGGAAAAATATTATTGTATATATGAAGTACATAAGGCTGAATTAATGCCACATTGTCTAAGAATCATCTCATTGATTATTTATTTTTTTTGTTCTATTGTATTTTCCCAAATATTTGCTGTCATGTGTTACTGTGTATTGAGGAGTTTGCATTTTATCGTTTCACTTGTCCCTTCATACCCAGCGTGGCTGCTGGAAGTCCTTATGCCCTTTATTCCATCCAGAGTTTATAAAAGGGCAGCTCTAAGGATCTGATTAGTGAGATGCAGTTTGCCTGTTATTTCTAATTCGGGTTTATAGGTGATAGTGATAAAAGTTACCCAAGAGTCTTCATGGGTCATAACCATATGCCTGACCAATAATTTTAATATAAATACTGTAATTTCTGTTAGCTTTCCAGATAGTGTACCTTTGATATATAGTAGAGGAGAAAGAACATTCATTTAAAATTTAAGTCTTATGACATGAGTTCATAATTCACTAGACTTTACTAGGGTTAGACAAATAAAATCAGTTAAGTTTTCCATAACTTAAATTCAAAGCTATATATTGATCCCTTTCTAGAACAGATTATATTCATCATGGAGATGAGAATTCTTGAACAGAAATGACTCAGATATTAAAGTCTATTACTTGGCTCCAAATTTTAAGACTGGAACATCAAGACCTAAAATGTACTGTCAAAGGTCACATACAAAGTGTCAGAACCAGGTCTGGAATTTCATGTCTCCTGGTCCAGTCCAAGGGCTTTCTGCTTCTTTTTCAGTGGTTCCCTGAGAAGTGTGCTCTCTCCACAGCAGAATTTAGCAAAGCTTTCTTTCACCTAGGACTTTTCACATTGGTATTCTGATTAAAGATCCACTGTTTAATGGAGCCATTAATAACCTGAACCACTGAATTTTCTTCTCAGGGGCTGAGGGAAATAGCTCAGAATTAAATACCGTCTCACCAGCCTCCCAAGGCAAAACAAACCAAGCCATAACTGGGAATACAATATTTAATAACCTGACAATGTAACTCATTGATTACTTTCTATCTCTTAGTAACCAAATAGGTATAACTCAGTTTCTTACAACGTGTTTAACTATAATTGATAGAGGTTAGTATGTATCCTATTTTTATATGTGTGTATATTTTACTGGCTTTGATTCTATTGATCTTAACATCGAAGACTGTTTATTCCATGGATCCAGGTAACAAAATGTTAGAAAGAGCACAGTGCATCAGAAACATGATATCCCCGTGGTTTCTGTAGCTTTGTTTTCCTTTGCTGGTCTGCCCACAAGGAGTGTGAGCAGCCCATTTAGCTTCAGAATTTCAGTAACTTACCAATTTCTCAGTACCTCTCATTCCAAGTTTACTAAGAATGGAATGAACATCAAATATCTTATTTATTTCTACATGTTACATGGTTTGTTGATTCAAAGTTTTAGAGATGTAAGTGATTTAGATATTATTTGATCCATCTTTTCTAGTTTACAGATAAGAAAATTGCTGCTTGGATAAATTAAGCAGTTTTTAATGCTGTTTAGGTTTGAGGAATTATAATTACTGTTGTATATTCACACACTTACCAAAATATCAAAAGACAAGCACATTTCAAATTTAAAACTTTCTTCCCTAGTGATTTATTAAACAAATATGAATAAAATTATCTTTTGAGGTGAAGCTCTTTAAAAAATTGTGTTACAAATTTTAAATTGTTTATAATATCATGTGTGTAAATTAAATGCATTTTTGTTAAGGCTGTTTTGAGGAATAAATGTATTATAAAATACTTTTAATTTTATAAATGATAAGTCAAATTTTGAAATATGTGCAATTTATTTAAATTTATGACTATGTTTTCAAGTTTATTTTCTTTAATATACATATAGTGAAAAATAATTCTACATATATACATGTACACATACAGTGCTTTTGTTTATAAAACACAGACACATACTAATGTCAAAATAAAACAAAATGTTTAAAAATCTACAGAATAAAGTTTCTTCAATTTTTCATGGAAAACTGATCATGGAATAGCTCTGATTATCAAAGCTCCAAATTAGTAAGAGTTGGATCAGAGAATTAATTACTACAGATGCAGTTATTATTTTCCTGTGTTCATATATGAAGAAAATAAAGAACTTCCTTGGATATGTTGTGAAGTATAATTCAACACACACACACACACACACACACACACACACACACACACACTCCCCTAACTCTTTTAATTCTTAACAGAATATTACATTCAGATTTCCTTCAAATCACAGGCGGCTCTGTTTGACAAGTTCTAACAGTCAAGGTAAAATCCAGCCAGTTTTTCCTGCTAACAATTTATTCATACTGCATATGATCTCTGTCTGATCAGGCTGCTTCTTGCTCTTGTCTTAGAATAAGGAACGAGTGCTGCTCTCCTGAGGTATGTTATTTGAGAAAGAAAGTAACCTAACACTAACTGCAGGCGGGGTCAGAGTGATGTAACAGGAAGCTCTGATGTTTCCCTTCTGCTGCTGAGCACTTACAATGTGACAACACTTCCAATCTACTCAGAGCAACCCTTTCTCTCCAGCAGAGAGTGTCACCTCCTGCTTTAGGATCATCCAGCTCTGCTAACTGGACCTCACCCTGCCTGCAGGATCACATTGCAAGGCTTTCACGCTTCCCCACCTTGCCTGGGGGTAAATCTCTTCTGTGGAATCTCAGATCAAATTCCCTCCTAAGAATATTTCACCAAGAATTGCCTTAGGAGCTGAACTGGGGGTAAGTGTATTCTTCAAAATAAGTATATTTATTCTGAGTAGTATTCTCATGCAGTTTGGCCATATTTCTGCTATAGAATGCAGGGACATTGAAATGTGTTGAAACATATTCTCATTTATTTCACATTAAAGAAACCGCAATATATTACCCCAAAATGTAGATAAAATATTTTACTATTAGACAATATCATGTATAGTGATAGTCCAGAAAATAAATTTAGTAAGTAATAAAAATCAAAGTGGATTAAAAGTCATACATCTAGACAAATATCTTATTCAGGGAACAATGCCTTTCAAAATTAGCTCTACTAATAGCTAAGCTTGAATTTTAACAGCTGGAAAACATTTTTCACCTCAGGAAGTGCCTTTAAACTTTCCATATAATCAGTATTCTAAGAAAGGGGTGGAAGAATAACTACTTTTGGGGTCTCAGAGGCTCACTCTGTAATTGAACACAATGAAGAATTCAAAGGAAAGTAATCGTTTTGGGTTTATTATACTTGCCTCCTATATTTCTTTTACCTCTATTTATCTCTAACTATTGGACTAATGGAATTTTCATTGTTCATTGTTGCCAGATGTGTTTAAAGTACTCTTTTGCTAAGCCTGAACTGCTTCCGCTGTGTTGGAGAAGGGGTGGACTACAAAGGAAAAAAACAGCTGGGGTTGAGAAAATGTTGAGATTTCTATGTCAACTCTAATTTCAAATGTCTTTAGCTAAGGGAATGTGTTCCTGCAATTTGTCTGGTGTCTTTCTGCCATGTTTTGAGGGGAGTTTGTGATGGTCAGGTAATTGCGGATAAAGAAAAGTAACAAAAGTTTCCCAAATGAGTATATCCAATTAATAAACAAAAAAGTGAAGTGTGCATTTTTAAAGAAAGAGTCTTCAGGATACATGTGACCAAAATGTAGAGATAAAACATCTGTTAATGCTTCTTCCCATAGTACAGACTATCCTGGACACTTAGAAACTATAGAGTCCACTTAATAAATTGTTGTATAGAGATATCAGAAATTTGTTGGTTAGTCAAAAGTAGGTACCAGGTTCGGGTTCAATTATATTGGTTGATGTAATTTACATACATTTCCTTACCTAAATGAAATTACAGTCTGCAAAATGTCCTTCAATGGAGAAATCCTGTTCTTAATCACTTATAATCCAGCACATTAATAGAAGGCTACAAACTCATTCTCTGAGTAACTCCTTGGTAATTTTATGCTCATTTTTTCACCACACATTTCTCCAAATAATGTAAATTTCAATTAAGTCTTATTTTTGTGACTCTTTTAAACAACTGGCTGATTTCCTGTCTCCCTTCTATTATTAATTGTATTGAGTTCCCTGCCACATGGCTACAAATGGAAAAAGTGTTTTTAGAATATGACCTTGTAAATAGCCATTAGAGAATTAGAAGAGGAAATGGAAAGAACACATTAAATGCCTAACCCAATGCCATGCATTAGTAACAAAAATTAAAACACATTTTTAATTTAGATTATTTTCTTAGAAGAAGGTATTATATTAATATCAAGTTTGGAACTCTCCAAACTTCTCTAAATTCTTTTTAATTGCTAACCAAATCCTATAATTTACTTGCATAATTTAATTAAATTTTTATAATTGTATTAATAATATGAATTATAGTCTTTATTTTTTAAAAAAATACTGTTGTATAGCACTAGGCAATGAATACTGACAGTCATTAGGCAAAGACTTATTATTTAAGAAAATAGTATTTGAAATAAACATTTCAAATGTTTGAAAGTGTGAAGTAAAAATTCACATTATTACATTATGTTTGTTTTTTAATGATAAGAGAATGTCAGAGCATCAATGTAGGCTTTCAAACCATAAGGAATTAATTAATTTTTCTAGATGGCATTATCCTGTAGCATCACAAAACCAAGCAGAGTTTAAGGCCAGTTCTAAATATATAAAATGATACAGAATTGAGAAATTATATGAATAATATGAACTAAAATATGTTTTACCTGCAATATCCAAATATCTTCAAGAAATATGCTTTGGTTATACTACTAGGTCTTTTAAAAAATATGTCTAGCACATACTAACATGTTATTTTTATTAGTTAAAATACATAAATGTTTAGAATATGTTTTGAAAAATAGAATGGTAAAATAAAAAAATATGGGCCTGTAATGTTTTGAAATTATATTTTACTAATTATGCTATTATAGCTGTCCCAATTTTACCCCTTTTGCCCAAAACTCCCACTCCCTGAGGCAATCCCCACACCATTGTTCATGTCCATGGTAATGCTTATAAGTTCTTTGGCTGCTCCATTTCCGATATTGCACTTTACATCCCCAGGGTTACTCTGTAACTATTTTTACTTCTTAACCCCCTCACCTCTTCACCCATTCCCTCTAATTTTAAAATTATATTAAAGAATGACCAAGATATATGTATTTTACTCACAGGTGATGCCTAAATATAATGAAATTTAAATGGAGTCAACACCTTGGCATATTTATTGAAATCATTTTTTCCATTATTTTTTCATGCATAACAGAACTTTTAATTTCAGTTAAAAATATTATGACTAAAACAATTATCTTATATGTTTTATGTTAATGTGGAAAAGTTCTTTGATAAGCACGTAAAAACTCATGAGACTTTAGTTAATATCATCATAACATATTTCTAGATCATAATTTGCTATCAACTTTTTCCACATGGTTAAAATTAGTAACTAATATTTAAGGATTGCTCTAGAACCTCATAGAAAAATTAGCAAAATATTTTTAAATTATTAACATATGTATTCACTAAACAAAACTTACTTCATGCTCTATGAATTTGAACACAGTTTGAAAAACTAATTGTTTTTAGAGATATCATAATTATGCTGTCATCTTTTCAGAAAACAAATATATTCAAAGAAAATTGTTGGAAGTCTTTGGCTTCGTTCCTTATCTTTGTTTAAGATTCAGAGAAGCTTTTAACCCACAAACATAAGCTGTATGGTTGCAATGATGTTAAGAAAAACACTCCAAGGGGTCAATTTTGTAGCACCTCTTTTTTCTTGACTCCATTAGACTGTCAGAGAATACACTGAAAATGGAAAATCAGTACACAACTATTTAAAACACTTGTCTGAGTCTGGTTTGGAAGTCTATGTATGAACTATAAATGTTTATAATCTCTCAGGGAAGCTCTCTTTTCTTCCAAAGAATTTCTACCATGCTGCACTTTTAAATGATTCAATAAATCCTCTTATTTAATGTCAGAAAATGTCCAAATGCAATTAGGTGGAAAATAAATATTTACCAGAAATACAAGATCAGGTCTGCATACTAACCAACTGTCTCAATCATTTTTCTATTTTATTCACGTAGACAACCATTCCTGCCCAAATTCTTTCAATAGCAAATATGCAACTCAAATAGTATCTGGATAGCTCTCACACCTTCATTCTAGTTTACCTGCTTACAAGTTGACTTATAATTTTGAAGATACACAGACTTAAAGTATAAAATTGAAGAAATAATAAATAGAATACACTTAGTTGTAAAATTTGGAATATAAGTATTGAGATAGCATGATTTAGTAAAAAAGAATCTCTGAATTAAATGTGACAATTAAATCAACAAAATCCATTTAAGTAATAAAGAATATTTTTAGGCATTGTATTTCAGTTGCAATTTAAACAGAAAAGTTTTCAATAATCCAGGTTACTTTTATGTCAAATTAAGATTATAGTGTTGTTCATTAAATCAAATAATCCCAGCATTTTCCCATATTTGAGAAATCTCAAAATCAAATTAAATTTTCAATTTGTGTTTATTTTATGAAAACAAGAAATAAATTTAATTTTTAACAACACAATAAAAGTCTTTATTTTTAAAAAATAAATTAGAATCACTTGCTTTGAACTGAGTTAAGGTTTATGTATATTAAAATACTACTCTTATTTTTTTAGATGTTAATTTGTAAATATTTCTGTAGGACATGTTTCTTCCTTAAATTATTTTGCTTATTTGAAAGAAATAGTATTATGTGAAACTAACTAGCCAATATATTATTATTTTCAAAGTGGTTATTATAGTGTTTTAAATAAATGTATGATATATTTTACCTTACTGAAATTAAAAGGACAAAAATCTCATCTCAACCCATCATAAATCTATAAATAACTCCTGTGGTATTGAAGCTACAGCTCTGTGTTTTATTGAGGTTATTGGATGGAGCCTAATTTTCAGAGGAATTTTATTTCTCTTAATATGAAACATGTTTAATTTAAAAATATATAGCATAAAATTTTGCATAAATTTCTAGTTATTTCTCTATTACTTTTAGGTTAACTGAGCTCATTGTGTTTCTCATGAAACCGTAGTAACTTCTGAGCATGTCATTAAGTGTATTAAGTAGCAACAATATCACTAAGTCACAACTGGGTGACTCGTAAGACACCCCTCTCACTATAGTGCAGGCACGTGGAGGATCATTCACATACTCATGAGCACACACACTTAGTCTGATCAACCAAAGCCAAGGTAAATTTGTCTTATCTCCAACTCCTGATTTCTTCAATTTAAAAAAATAAGAATTAACTTGAACCTATGCCCACTAATTAACCTGAAATGTTTATTATTTGTGCATAAGCATTCATTTCACATCCTTTCCCAGGGTAATTTAAAGGGGATATTGGAACTTTGGTTCAGTACTGGAGAAAAGTATATAACATCGTAAGAGAAAATAAGGAGGATGACAACTATCAGAAAAGAATGCTGTCAAGGCCCTGGCTGGGTAGTTCTGTTGGTTAGAGCCCCATCCCGATAGCCAAGGCTGAGAGTTTCCTGGTCAGGGCACATAAAAATATCAACCAATGCCTGCATGAATAAGTGGAAGAACAAGTTGATGTTTCTCTCTCTCTCTCCTTCATCTCTCTCTCTCTCTCTAAAATTAAAAAAAAGAATGTCAATATAAAACTGTGATTTTGGGTGTGAATTCTGTGTTAGTTTCAAATGTGAGGCAAA